CTGATGATTTGACAGCTTCTGCATATATGCAAATCTCACCACTGATGTGGACTGTAAATGGATCTGCATGTGTCACTTCATTGGCAATTTTATATACATTTTGGTAATATTATTTATATAAATAATATTACACAATATTGGTAATATTGTACCAAAAAATTGGTACAATATTATTTATTCCCGAGCACAAATGTGCAACCATCCACAAAGCACACAGGCAACGTGACTCACGAGACACATCATTTTTATTGTCTTTTTTTTGTTTCCAAAATCATTTCAGTGGAATTAAGTCGAAACAGGATGAAAGGCACTTCTGGATTCGCTTTGCGGTCCTATATCTGCTATAACCACAGACCACGGTATGTAAGATTGACAGATCGGGTCGCGTTTCTGTAGTTCTAATGAGACATAAGAAAACTACAAATTTGACTTGCTTTACAATAGTCATTATTTTGTTTTTCCTTGTTTCTGATGTCGCAATACATCATACTTTCGTGAAATCATGCAACATACTCTACCTTGTCTGCATGTGGACATCGTTTATTCCAAAGACGGTGCTGGATAAACAACGAGCGTGCGTGCGACAGTATACGGCTGCGGTAGGCTAAATTATTTACGACATCGGTAATGGACAATTCCGCTTCCAACCTGTAGGGCGACCGCAGAAGAAAAGTTACTTGGTGTTGCTTTAAACTTACTTTTCTTCTGAAAAAAAGAATACTGCTAACATTAACTGTGAACATTGTAAGGTGCTGAAGGAGAAAATTAAGTAATATGTTGTTCATGTTGTTATTTAGCACGTTTTGAAATGTATGTGACTCCTGAGTCACGTTGCCTGTTTAGGGTATAAAAAGGGATTAATCATTTAAAATGCACTATTCAAACTTAAATGATTCTAAATAATTCAAGAATGCTGTGGAATATAGAAGTTTGGTCTTGTTTTAAAGAAAACAGTCAGCAGATTATTGCTGAAAGCACTTCAAAAAATGAAAGTATGAAAAAGTTATGGAAGTTTAAACTTACAGTAAATCAAATATACTGTACTTAATATTTTTTCTTTTTTATAAAATATGAATTTTACAAAATATTTTTTACTATAGAATTACTATAAAATCAAAGCCATATATCTAACCAAGTTGTGTTCCAAATTTAAAGTTGATATCACAAAAATTGAGGTTCCCATGAAATTTTGTTTATAATACCAAAAATAGCCACCGGGTGACTTACATTCCATTGAATTTAATTGTATGCATTCTCTGCCATAACTAATTAATACATTTCTGTCCAAATATCACTTCTGTCACAAAATATGGAACCTTGAGACACAGACCTTTCTGACAATATGTGTTTTGTCAAGATTAGAAAAGGTTTTGATCATAAATTATGAAACATGACGATGCCCAAAAGGGGAGGAGCCCGATAAAAGAATTTAGGGTACCGTTTCTATGGTAATGCAACGTCCAATTTCAAAACGGCTCTTTTAACATGCAGAATCTTGAGATCGTAAGCTTTCTAATGATATATCATTTGTCAACATTAGATCAGGTGAAGTATGGGATATAATTGTTTTAAACATGCAGTGGCAGTAACAGTTAACAGATTAATAACTTGGTCCTTTTTTATACCTTAATCAGGCAACGTGACTCAGGAGACAACTCATAAAATCCAAAATAGGCCTATATCAAATTTAAAAAAATATATTTTGGAAATGTTTTATTGAAGTCCAGTCAGATGATATAAAAAATGACATGAAATTATTTTTTGCCTAGCATTTTCCACTCTTGCCTGTTTAAGGGTTAAAACCATGACATTAACTTAATTGACAACAAATGCAGCAATTTACTTTATTATGAGTAGAATATTATGATCATGATCATATAAGATTATGATAACATGAAATTAAATATCATGACTAACTAACAGGTGTTTTCAAATGATTTTTGAAGCTTGTCCCAATTTTTAATTTTTTTTAAATGATCTGCAATTTGAATGTTTTATTGCACCAATGCAATCCACTTAAATTTCAACAATAGAAATGTACTTTTTACCTAGTTTCCAGCTCTAAGGACTGCATGACTAACAGCACACTTCTTAAAACTGGAAAACAACTCACAAAGCAATGGATGTAACCTAGGCTATCCCAGGCCAATTAAGGGACTCCTTATTAATTAGCTGAATGTGACTGGATTTTGATTCCGCTTTTCACTTAATTAGAACAGCCCTAAATGTCATGCTAGAACATTTACGCAAATAAGGTTAAAAAGGTTGTACGGATGTTTAAAATGGAAGGTGGTGCTGGCATGTTGTCTGACAGGGGAATTCTGTTTGGATAGTTCTTGTGTCAGCAAGACTCGCTTCGCTTTGTTTGTACGTAAGCGTGGGCAGGAAGCCTCTGTCTCATATCCAATCTAAGGGCAACCCTCCCACGGTTAGTTGTCTGAATCGATTATAAATGGATTTATTTGTTAAAAGCGCCTATGGAAGGCTTCGAGTGTTGAAATTATGCTTGCTGTAGAGAAAGAGATTCATCTGGGGGAAGACAAAGATACGGTGGATGCCGCCTCATTAAGTCAGAGCCGGGAGAACAAACGATCAGTTTGTAAAGAACGCCAACGCGGCGTTTCCCTCTCTGCGACGCACGCAGCACAGGGCGGAAATGATGGAGGTGGAAGAATTTCTCTTTCGGTGTCAATAGATCTTCGTGGGATAGGTCATTTGTCAACAGAGTGCTGTTAATTCTCCAAGCCAGAACGTACCTCTTCTGTCGCCCTCTCGTGTGAGACAGTCGACGTCCTCTGGGTGAAGTTAACGTAAACAGACAGTTGGTTGCAGAAACACTATCTTCTCTGACAGCCATGTAAAGCCTCTGTCAACTCATTCTCACCATGAGCTGATCCAATTCGTTCATGTTTAACACTATATATTTTTTGATAGAATTCACATGACTGGATTATCTTAACTTTCCTAATAGAAAACATCAATTAGGCTATCGTCTCGTCACTTGCCAGGTATACGAGCACGTAACCAAAACATGCACTTACAAACGACTTTCGAGACTGCTATTCCGCATTAGTCTACTGTAGCCTATTAATGAGCAAAACTGTAGAGGTAGAAATGGCATTAAGATTTAGATCGATAAACGGTTCTTTAATTACACAAGTAAGGAAGGAGGTTTAAGCACGTTTAAAATAATTTAACGAATGGCCCTTAGCAATAGCAGTGAGCCAAAAGAACCAGACGTAATGAAGAAAAATGAACGCAATGGTAACTAAGGCCAGTGCCAGGATCATCAGTGTTTTGTGAATGAGCTTGCCCTTGGTCTGAAGATGGGAACGCTTGAGAACGCTTGGATATTGCATGAAAAGAGTTTTGGACAAACTTTTGGAACCGTTGGATTTCTAAATTCTTTAGGCACATGGATAAGTGCACTAATTACCTGTGCAACTCGTCCTGCTTGATCGCTGTTGTTGACACGCTGTACATTCCCAGAGAGTTGTTTAGGATCACTAGCCCTGTAAGTCAGTTTCACTGGTGTTGTACCACAACATGACACTTAATAAACCATTTAAATTTTAAAAGAAATATATATGGTAGGAAACAAGCAGCTTAAAAAAATGAAAAATTAATAATTATTGCACCACCTTGTTCTTTGTTAATACATGTAGATACAATGTCCAAAGTTGATTAAAATATTCAACAATTGCTTCATCATTCGTGCCAAACATTTGGCATTTGTTTATTCCAAAGGGAGATGTTGGGGATGTGAGGGACTGACAGCCTCAGTCACCATAACTTTATTTGTACGGGAAAAAACGAGGGTGTCAGTCCCTAACATCTCCAAAAATTACTTAAGGGTGAATAATAATGACAATGTTCTTATTTGGGTGTATTTTCCTTTCAAATTTTAAGTTGCCAGTTCGTTCAAATAGATAAGAAATAGCCTAATATGGACGAAAGATGATTGGTCAATGAAAACTAACGCTGACAAAAGCGAATGATTTCAAAATTCACTGGTTTACAGAATACGGAGTATCAATCTCTCTAATACAAGGTTGTAAACCTAGGTTTCTGTAAACCTAGGTTTCAAGCAAACTGACTGCGAGCATTCCTGTACAAATGATACATTAAACTAATTGCTTTTTTTATTCAAAGGCTATAAATTAAGATCACTCTGACAGTTATTGAAGAAATCTTAAAATATGGAACGACATAACTTTACATTAGATGAGGCATATTCACGTTAATTGTCCTCTGCAGGTTATCATGCAAGATGAAATTGTGTTTAGGCCTATTCGATATAATGTTTAAGATCAAATACATAACCTGTCGTCGTCTCACTGTAATTTGCATGGATGCATTACGTTTTTATTTTTAGATGGTCCACAATGGATACCAACATAATACATGCCAGGAATATTCCACTGCAAATGTTTATTGTCCATTTTGTCTGGTAGAGAAAAAAACGGTTGCAAAAGATTTTAATGGTAATAATGATGCATTTCAAACACTCATCAAAACATCCTGTAACATAATGTCACGACCTGGATACGGAAGAGGCACATTGCTCGCTAATGTAAAAAAATCCAGATCAGACAAAACATGTAGCCTATAATACGCATTCATTTTCATGCACTGACGATTCAAGCGCCAGCTGTTTCCTTTGTGAATTTTATGGTGTAATTGCATTTATGCGTTTTGTTAATGAGGCAATGTACATCGTGATGAGGATTGTTGGTTCCTTTGTGTTGCGCTGTCAGTTTGCAGCTGCATCTTGGAAGGGACCGGTCTCGCCTTCCCCGTGTTGTCTAGCCCTCTCTATTCGGCGGAAAAAAAGTACTATTTCATTCATCCCGTTTCCTTCCATTCATCTGGGCACTGCAGCGTAGCGAAGACTCGGGGTTCGATCAGCACCAAAATTCTTATCAATGGAGTGAGCCAGTGACGTCAATGAGCTAGAGTGACGTGCAGTCACGTGGGCGCAGTGGGGCCGAAATAAAAACACGGAGAGCTGACCGTGGTACTGAAAATATCCCCATAGCACCGTCCAAGAATAGCCAACCATACGGCTTACACAAACGATATTTCTGTACAAACAAAACAGCAACATTCAAAGCAAGCATGTATTGTTGAAGTGGATTCGTATACGTAAATCGCGAGACTAACTTTACTTTAATAAAAAAGTTTGAAGAGGACACAATAAGTGCGTCGGACTGCGCTGCCCCTGACAGGATTCCCGGTAAGTCCCGGCTTTCTTTTTATAGTAACAGGGAACAGTAATGCAGAAGGCGTGGGAAAAGAAGTATATAATAATGTAGACAGAAACAGCATAAATTAAAAACGCAAACTGGGGCATCAAGATTTTGCTTTATTAGTTTACATGTAAAAAAAATGAAATGAAAAAAATTGTTAGGCATGTGTTATAAAAATGTATTATAAAATATAGGCTATATCCATTTTAAGTCTTTATATAAAAAGGGGACCTGATGATAAAAATGCGGCAATGTAGAAAGTAAAAGTAGGCTATAACAATTATTTGTGAAGGAAGGAATGAAACTTATTAAAAACCACTTTAGTGATACTGAATATTGCAATGATGACTTTTATAATTAATGATTAAGGTAACGGGTGTGATCAATGGCACTGCTCTCATAATAATTATTACCACGCCCTTGCTTTTGCTTTCATCATCTTTCTCATCACCATAGCATTAGATACCCAAAATAACTATACGTCGAGTCCAATCACAAAAGCGCACGAGAGACACTGACATAAAAACATGTTGTTTTGCTTCTGCATGCTTTGACTTTTGCCTGCTGGGGTCCAATTTGACGTATTGTACATACTTATAAGTAGCCTAGCTCATATGGAGCAGAGAAATGTTGACAGAAAATTCAACAGCAGAACATTCATTATCTGTTTTCATGTCTTTCAAATGTTGATTGGGTTCAATTTGTCATAGAAGACGTTTAGATCTTAAATCTAATAGTCTCAAAGCAGAAGATTATAGGCCTACTAGAAGGCGTCTACAAGGCGTCTTAGAGCTGGATTACTTGCGTTCTTTGTTGATGAGACCTCCCCAGATGTCTCGGTCATTTAAGGCAGTGGGCGAGGGTGTTACTGTTAGAGCTGCTGTTATATCGTGGAGACACGATTCTAATAAGACAAAAAAGTTGATCTTTTCAAATTTGAGAGGAGCTACAGACTGTTGTTTTTTTAATAAAAATAAGAAAATTGTGCATGCCACGCAGCTGTCAAACTTTAGAAGAGTAAACCATGCATCGTGAGCCAGTTGGCACAAATCCAAATTTAACGGAGTGTTTTTCCCCCCCCATATGAGTGAGAGATACTCGTATTTTTTTTATTTTTTATTTTTATTCTAACTTGCTTTTCATGGTCATACTGAGATTTTCAGATCATCCTTGTATTGCTTGCTCATTAACCTCCCACGCATCGGAAGGGCTCTCTGCTAAGGCGCTTTTCCTCCTATATACATTATTAGCACCGCGCCGCGTGTGCGACCAATCACATGCACAAAGCGCTTCAGAGTCCTCACGAACCGCACCAGCTCAAGCCGCAGAGCCAATTACAACGCCTTTGCAAATCAGCTAAGCAGCAGGCAATAACACATCAATTATAGCTTAACAAAATATCCTCCCTCCTATGATTAAACCATGTTTGTGAAAAATATAAATATGCTTTGTTAGATATCTTCAGAATAGAAAAATCCTCACTGGATTTAACAAGAAAAAATAAAGTATTTAGCCTACTAAAGTCTATATTGACATTAGTTCTTCCATTACAGTAATGAACAATTCATGAAATGCTCCCAGGTATCAATTACAAGTCATTCATACAATTTTTTTTAAATGTAATATACAGTGAGTGTTGCATTCAGGCAGTCTGCAAAGTGAATGTGTGTCCACCATCTTACCTGAGAAAAATCTTCATTCTGAGCGATGCACATTGACTGTTTTTACTCAAGCTCATTTATTCAAGAATTTTTATGACAAAGGTATATCAAAAACACGATATAACTAGAAAACAGTTGTTTTTGGTCACCTTGAGATCAATTTTGAAGGGCTCTTTTGTAACATTTTTGATCTTTGACCATTTATGCACTTTTTTTTGTCTTTCAGGTTCAACACGTACGTGCGGTCATGAGCTGGTGCCAACAAACTTTAAATGTTCACGTCATTTTCCTGTTCGTGTTATTTAGTCTCACAGTCAAGCCTGCAACCTTCAGTCCAGTGACAGCAGCCAGCAACACAGTAAGTGAAAACTATGCAGCACCCTCCTCTGCTCAGCAACAGAGTCAATATACTCAACCATCAGAGAAAAAGGGCTCGCTACATGATGAAAACGAAGAAGATGAGCTTTTCAAAGACGTGGATCCTAGAACCCTAGCAGCGGTCCTTCTCGAGGCCCTTAACCAACCTCAGAAGGAAAAGATGAGTGAACGAGAAGAGGAGGGAATGGAAGTGGAAAAGCAGAAGGATCTTCAGGGTGCAGACAGAGACAGAGATAGTCACAAAGAGCTGGAGCTGGTCATGGCAGCTGCTGCAGCGCAAGGAAAAGACGAGAAAGAAAGAGAGGAGGAAGAGGAGAGAAAAAGGGTTGAGGAAGAGGAACGGCTAACGGAGAAAGTGACAAGCCACACCACTAGTCAGACGGTACCATTAAAAGAGCAGGTGGCTCCACAGGACGGGGCCACAAAAGAGGAGGTGATCAAGGAGGAGGAGAGGCAGGAGCCAGAGAGAGGAGAACTGGGGGAGGAGGAAGAGCAGCTAAGTCCAGAGGAAGTGAAGAATCTGGAGACTGTTTTAGAGGAACTGCAGAGCTACAGCACAGCCACTAAGAGAGAGCGTGACACGTACACAGGACAGAGGGGAAGCCGTGGGGAGTATTTTGATTACCTGGACCGTAATGGCCTCATGAACAACGATATCAAGTCTAAAGCTAAAGGCAATGACCTAGCCCTGTCCAAGAAGAAGCTAAAGTGGCAAATCGAACAAGAGAAGAACAAAATTCAGCCTTTACAAAGAGGAGGCAACTTCATGGATGACTTTACCAATAACCTTGCTGACCCAGAAGAAGAAGATGAGGAAGATCAGGAGGACGAAGAACAGCTGAGCCCTGAAGAAGAGGAAACTCGGGCCAAAGCAGAGCAAGAGGAGGTACGCAGACAGGCAGCAGAAGCACTAAGAGCCAAGGTGGAGGAGGAAAAGCTTGCAGACATTGCATCTGACATGCTCCTGAAATACATCGTGAAACAGGACAAGAATAAGTACCAAGACAACAATGGTGCAGAAGATAAGCGCTCTGATGAGGAGGACACTAGTGATGACGATGATGACATTGACCCACAGACCATTGATAAGCTGATTGAGATCTCAAGCAAGCTACATCTTCCTGCTGATGATGTGGTGGACATTATTAACGATGTGGAGAAAAAGAAGAAAAAAGATGCTCCTGAAAATCTCCCATGGCAACGTCCTCTCATGCCGCCTCCAGCCCCTGTTGCACCCTCTACTCTGTTACGTAAACCTCCTCCTCCCTCAAAGCCTCCACAACCGAACAAGAACCCATTAAAAGCCTGGTTCAAAGACAGGGCCTCGGTCAAGCCCAGCAAGCAAGACATTTGGACGAGACAGCAGTGGCCCTTTCGTACCTACCCTTCCTACAAGTTCTATCAAAAACCCTACAGAGGGTATTACCCCATCTACATCCCGCCTCAAAAACCAAAATCCCGCTACTATTCCAAGCCGTCTTTCTCCCTCAATGATGTCCTGGGAAACTCACTGGACTATGACTTTGATTACTCCCCCAGACGGAAGTCGCGTCCCTGGTCGCAGTCTCCCCAAAGAGCCCAACCAGCCTTCCAGCGGAACCTCTACTTCCCTCACCCTCGGACTTTCAAAGCCGTACCCATTCCTAAACCCCGGTCACCTCCACGTCGTTGGCAGTCCTTTTATTACCCAGCCCGAGCTCCTGTAGTCACCAGGGAAGATGATTACTACAGTCCTCTGAGGCAGCCGCCACAGGACAGCGAAGAGGAGCTACAGAACTTCATCGAGAGGGTCTTCATGAAACATCCCCGGATGTTTCAGTGAACAGACTGGGGGGTGGGGAAAGAGAGCGATGAGGAGGCGGAGGGGAAAAAAGAAAGTGAAAGGAAACAACTTAAAGACTGTTCATTGCCAACCTATCATGTTCTGGTTTCTTTTACTGAAATCAATTTCTTCACACTTTCTTATTTGCTTCAGATACAAAGTTTACCCCCAAGAAAGAACACAAATAGGATCTTCATGTCCATCTAACCACATTTCTTTTCTTATTTTGTTTTGTATATTTTGGACATTTAAAATCCCAGTGGTCAATATCATTGATCCTAGAGGGATAGCAAAAAAATTATATTCTAATTGCACCTTTAAAGAACGCAAACACAGATTCATTCAGACAGAAATGATAAACAATCACAGTGCCATAATGGTGGAAATATACATTTTGTTAATTCAATACACCAAATGTATTAAGTCTTACTTGTACCTCAAAGTATTCTGCTTGAGCATTTACCATTTGTGCGTTCCCTTGTGAAGCAGAGGACACACTCAAAGTCTTGTACATAGAATTAGTTTCTTATCGCTGTCTGCATTTTGAATTTTTCCCTTCAATGTATTTATACCATTGTTTTTTTACGCAAAAAAAGATAGAAAGTTGGTACAAAAGACATTCATACATTCCAACGATTTCTAAGAAACAAATGTATTATTTCATAGAAGCTGTTTTGAATACAACTTTTAATTGCCTTAAGACACTCTCTTCCCCTATTCAGATGAACAGCATTTTTGGCCACAGACTGGCTGAAAGGTTTGTTCTCAAGCTCATAAACTTTATTCAGTGGAGCTGGGAAGCAGTGATCAGCCTTTTGACTTTGTTTTACAAATAAAACGAATATATATATATATATATATATAAGACAATTAAAAAAATTCATGTTTGTGGTTTTAAATGTGTCAAATGTTAATGGATTATTTTGCCCCTAGGCCAGTTACATCTTACCAAAATCAATCACTGGGCCAATGAGAGCTCAATCCAAATAGCATAGACAATCTATTAATTTAAATGATTCACATGGGAATGAATCAATCTAGATCTACTAAACATCAATGTTAATGTTAATTAAGTGAAAATTGAAATAAAAATCAGTAAACCATATTTTCCTAAAAAGAAGTCTGTAGGAGAGATTAATCTGGCTGAAATTGTCCCAAATGAGATGAATAAAATGTACCAAACTGGTGCCTGTCAATAAAAAAAAAAAAAAAAAAAAAAAAAAGAATATTCAAATGTAGAGGTGGGGGGGGGGGGGGGGGGGGCATACACCGTTCTAATTTTCTTTAAAATATCTGGAAGACTGACAGATGGAAGCTAGGGGGAAAATGGATGAGGATAGCTGAACCAGTGGAGGAGGAAAATTTCTGCACGTTACTGTAAACTTGCATCTAAAATGTGTTGCTTCTTTAAAGACATTAAGAGCATTGAAAAAAGTACAAAAAAAGACGAATGACTAGTGTATCCAAGTAAAAATGCCATTGAGTCTTGTGTGAGGAAAAAATGTTTATGTCCTTTCTAGATGTATCTTGTACGTAACATAATAAACATGCGTTTGCTGGATGTAAATAACCGCATGTTGATGACTAGTTTTGCTACAGAGAGAGAAATAAATAAACTTGACTATTTTTTATTAAGATTGTTTTTTTTAATTCCTTCGTGTAAAGAACACGGTTGTGAGATTTGCACATATCTCATTCATTTGTTTACACACTATTACTTCCTACAGCACGCTCAAATTTACCAGCATAAATTAAAGTTTTGGCTTACCTTTTCCCATCTTATAACAATAAGAAAAGCATGCACAAACATTACCAAAAGGAAATTAAAGATGAACATTCAGGGTCTTAGTGTGAAAGTCTTTCAAAGATGATCTCTCTAATGAGCTCATTTGATCAGCAATTAGCCCAACAAACTGTGTGAGCCCCAGAGCCAATCAATGCCACATATCGTCTTCTTAATTGCATGCCAGGTCGAATTTTCTCTTAGCTTTGATATGCCGTATGAGCAAATATAGACACGTATGTGCATGCACACATTATTAAGATACCAAAGGACATCAAAATAAGGACAGAGGACAGATTTACTGTTGAAAAGAATTATGAAGGGAAAAGTATATGCTAAGTAACTAGAAAGAAAGCAGGGCAGGGGTCTTGACTAATGAGAGACTGAGCTTATTAGTAGTCCCAAGACTGCTGCGTGCAATCAAAGACTTTCAGCAAGGAAGGTTGTTATTAGGAGAGACGCCCCGCTTTCACACCACATGAGACATGTTTAGGAGTGAGGTTCGCTTTTTTATTCGTGCAAATACACTTAAAGGAATAGTTCACTTAAATTTAAATTCTGTCATACTCACCCTCAAGTTGTTTCAAACCTGTATGAATTTCTTTCTTCTGCTAAAAACAAAAGATGATATTTTGAAGAATGTCGGTAACCAAACAGTTTATGCACCCCATTGACTTCCATGGAAAAAAAAATTCTATGGAAGTCAACTGTAGGAAAGAAATTCATACAGGTTTGAAACAACTTGAGGGTGAGCAAATGATGACACAATTTACATTTTTAATTGAACTATTCCTTTAAAGCAGGGTTCCTCAAACTCGGTCCTGGAGGGCCACTGCCCTGCAGAGTTTAGCTCTGATCAAACACACCTGAGCAAGCTTATCAAGGTCGTGCAGGATCACTAGAAACTCACAGGTAGGTGTGTTTGATCAGGGTTGGAGCTAAACTCTGCAGTACAGTGGCCATCCAGGACTGAGTTTGAGGAACCCTGCTTTAAAGTGATAGTTCGAAGAAAAATCTGTCATCATTCACCACCCTCATGTTGATCCAGACCTGAATGAGTTTCTATCTACTTCAAACATATAATTATAGACAATTAATGTGGTTCAGAAAACATACCATTTTGAGTTTCTGTTGATTAAACCATCTCCTTCATATTAACTCAAATTTTTAATTTCGATGAACTCAAAATTAAGGCAACCAGGTTACTTAAGTTAAACCAACAATACCTTTTTTTTTACAGTGAGTGAAAGAATATAAATAATACATCTAGAAAGAATAACTCACCTGCTTTAAAAAGCCCATATACATGAACCCCAAACAAATTACTTTTGTACCTGCTCATGTTTGATTTGTTACCACACTGCAAAAAATGACTTGATTGCATTTTGCACTATTCTTTTTTGGAAAAAAAAAATAAGACCAATTTACCTGACAAGCGACACTGCATAGGTAGGCTAATAAATACAAACATGCATTTTTAACTTAAAACAAGTGGGAAAAAAATCTGCAAGTATGTCAAATGCACTTACATATTCTCTGACATTCAGTCATATCAAAATATAATTCAAAATGACTGAAACAAGAACAAAATGAATTTCAGTGCTTTAATTAAAACAAACAACAAAATGGCAGAGCAGAACTGTGACCTCAGTACCAGCCAAATATATATATATATATATATATAGGTGGCTCCAACTTAACCGTATACAATTGGGCTACTAACACCCCAATTAATATACATTTCATTACTATTAATTTATTCATATAATCATATTAATCATCCACCATAAAAAAAAGACTATTTCAAGGGTACAATGACATCTGTCAAACATTGTTTGTGAACAAGGACCTTCATATGCAAAGTGAAAAAGTTCTTAGTACATAATCACTTGACACCAAATGACAGCAGTTTTCAATTCAGAATGTTATTAACAACAACTGAATGAGACCGGTCTGGAAACAAACAAGGAGTGACAGCAACAATTTCCCATGAATAAATCAATAAAACAAAACAAAACAAAAAAATAGAAAATTAGGGAAACAGAATCAGACAGGGAGGGAAGACAAAGAAAATGACAGCCTAATGAAATGACTAGTGAAATCGTAATCAACAGAAAGGCTTGGAATAAAGAGACACCAAACAAATGGCGAGAGGTAGTCAATAATAATGTTAATGAAGAAAGTGAGAGGGTGGCATAAAGAGAAATAGAGAGAATGGGGCGACGGAGAGGTTGATAAGGAGAGCGCAGCCCACGGAGGAGCAATGATTCATAAGTCACATGGTTGAGAGGTGAGTCATACTCGCTCTACTGCAGAACCCTCAGCCTCCAACACACACCGACAATCCTTTGTCATATTCACTTACTCAGGCATAGCAACTGGGAAGAGTAATTGTCAAATTCAGTCAAACAGACTCTATAATACCACCCGATTCAATTAAATAAAAAGAGAAACATCTACCAATGTGTGTTAAATCCAATTGTGCACGAACAGGCGATTTTGCACACTGACAAATGCCAGAAAGAAAGCATGTGCACTTATCAAAGCGAAAAGCACTCCATTCCTGCGTTACACCTGCACACCAGCACACAAGCAAAATGACAAACACAGTTTCGATGCCCTGAAGGCTTGCCCAGAAAACAGGGGAATGAAAATGCACTTTGTTCTCCTGATCAAATATCGAATCTGTCCGACATTCTCTATGACTCAAAACCCAACAGCCCCGATGCAGAAAAAAAAGATCAGCATAATGGGAAAACCCACGGAAAGCCCATATGTTCCACCTCCACCAAAAACAATCTCTGCCAAGTCCATCATCGTGTTGGCCTGAAGCGGTCTTCGCATTTCATTATGGAGGAGGGAAGCTCTAGGGTGGGTTTGCCTGTAAACATTGTGCCACTTATTCTGGCAATCCTCCAGAAGAAGAAAAAAATGAAAAGAAGAAATGTCCTCACCTTACATCACTTAATGGGAAGTCTGAAACATTACACAATATACAGACTGCTCATAGATTCTATAGGGCACCATCTCCTGAGAGGTCTCACGGGTTAACCAAAACCTCACAGATGTAGCCTTTATAAACATAAAGAGAGGGTGAGACTGACTCTTTATAGTAGATAAAGAGTTACTGTCTGTAAGGATAATGGGAAGGAAGTAACAACATGACATTAAAAATTCATCATGAGGTAGGCAGAGAGGCCAGGCAATTATGATGGGCGGAAGGAGGTGGGGGGGGGGGGGGAGAGAGCATGCAGAGGCACTTGGCAGAAACTCAGTTTCCACTGGAGATGTGCTGGTGCCAGATCAATGGAAAAAGACTCATACAGGGGAGAAATGAGAGCAGTCATCAATCAAACCATCAGTGTGAGACCAGCATATTATACTTACTGTCATAAAATGTGCTCCACAGAAGCTAAACATTGTTTC